TCGACTTGGTTGGGTCTCCTCATCAGCAGTGTGAATCCATCGACCCAACTAGGGATTGAACCGGTGTCCTCACGAGCAGAGCGCAAGCAGGCTACCCATTCGGCCACCGGGCTGCTGATCAGACAGTTTTTCATTTTCCATTTACAAGATTTAGCACAACCCATCTTTGGGAGCTGGTTGCGGGCCAGGGACCCTGCTCATCTGAGCACTAGCCTCCGGGTTGACTCGTTTAGAAACATTCACAACCTGACTACTTATTTCAAGTGAGTAATGGAGGATTTGATTCAATTTTATAGCGCGGGTAGCATGCTTGCGTTCTGCCTGTGAGGTCCTGGGTTCGATCCCCAGTAGGGTCGATAGATTCGTACTGCTGATGAGACACAACCAGGTCGGAACAGCGATGCAGTACTCCATAGTTTTTCAGTTCACGCTTCATTTGCCATGTACACGACGAATTCACCTTTCAAATTTAATCAAATCTTCCATTACTCACATGGGAGATCATACTGCTAATTAAAACGGACTACTCAAAAAACGAGAGGTTGGGGATCAAAGCTAATTTGATTGACCATTCACATTTTTTACGTAGGTTGGGATCGAGTATGAATGGTTGGAGCCTCGGCAAATTCCAGTAACTTTGTTCGTAGTGCTGTGTTGTAAATGACCTGAAATGGGTGGGATGGAATGACAATGTTTCTGTCCAAATAGGTGTGCACAATCGGAGACCTGAGTTTTTCTGCCCGTTCAATGACGTAACGGTTTCAAGCTTGTCGTTCATCTTAAGCTACGCCGGGATGTGTTCGGCCATTCCGTGACTCAAGTGCTTCTATGTCCGGCCTACGTAGACGACGGAATGCCCATACTTTAAATGGTAAATGCAGTTTGATTTAGGGGAGGAGGCACTGGTGTTATCCGGGTAGTGGGTAAGACAATGACCGAGTCAACTGCGTAATAGACTCGTCTGGTTGTAGGATTCAACCGCTTGCTAAATGACTCACGTCTTCGCCTTCAAATGATACTTGTTAAAAAGCTTTTATTTAGGGTGTAATTATTGGTTTTCCTACTTATGGTGTTGCTTTACACTGTCTGGTGATGAATGCAACTGGATATCCATTTTTGTGTAGCACCTCTTTGAAGAGGTCACTTTTATCGTTCAAGAAGTTTTATGTGCATATTTTACACGATCAAGGAAACAATGTACGGGTAACACCAATTTTATGTTGCATGGGGGCAGAGCTGGTGAAATGCAGTTAGTGCCCAGACCACATGCTCTTTCGGAAGACCGATCTTTCAATCAAACCATCCAGTCGACGAGTCTAGTCTGTATCTAAAACCTCGATGCGGTCTTGACGAGTTAGCTGGATATTGCGGTGAATCGATGGAATAGTTTTTTCTCCGTAGCCCTTTATATTGCCTTATAACGACAGTGTGGATTTAATTTAGAAATATCCTATACTTTTGAGCAGAGGCTCAGATACCTCAACCTGTTCTTGCTGGAAAGGATAATCAAGGCGAGACCTCAACAAAGTTTTCGGGATAAATAACAGGGTGTCTGGGATAAAAATTTGAGGGCAGCCCATTCAATTCAACGCTCATAGTGGTAATAGGGGGCACAGCCTAAAGCTACAGTGTAACCTTGCAAGGGTGGTTGAAGGCGCTAAGTATCTTACAAGTCGCGTAGTACCTTTCGAAATAGGCTGCAAAAACAAATTTCATGGCAATTCAGAGGGCGTTAAACGATTGTTGGGTTTCCATATTTCCTGAAAGAGTTTAAGGGTCCGTATATATTTTTTATGGGATCCATTGCATAGGCTGAGATAATGCACCTCATACACTGCCTTTCAGAAAAAAACTCATTGACTCTTACTGCTGGAAGCCACAAGATCAGCCAACAACACAACGAACCGGACGCGCGACACACGCCCAGCGCAATTATTATTATTATTATTATTTACACCAATCTTCACAGATACGGCACCAAAGATAACCATGGGTGAGCGAAAAAATATAGGTACAATAACAATATTTTTTGTTTGTTCACTGCACGCCATTTTGAGTTTTTTTCGCTTTTATTTATTTTTGGGATTGTAGACAAGAGGTGATGCATTCGCGCCACTGACTTCGGTTCGATGCCATATCCCGCAGTCTCCAGCCAAAGACTATCTTAATCTTTGGGGCCCCAGCCGGGGAGCCGAGAAACCCCAACGGAAACCAGATCCGAGCACAATCTCTTTAACCCTCTGCGCCACGTCATAGCCTGCCCACCTCGTTGCTTCTTCCATTCTGGACCGATGTCTACGAGTAGTGTACGGTATGGCAGACGGTGCTCAGGCATTTGTAGGACGTGCCCTAGCCACCTAAGACGATGCTGTGAAATTACTTTGACCAAAGGTAGACTATCTGGTCCTAGCACCCGTCGTCTGGCTTCATCGTTATTCAAGCGATGCTCCCACCATACGCGGGCGATATTTCGCAGACAACGGTTGTCGAAGACTGATAGCTGCTGGACGTGATCTGCCTGGAGGCCAGGTCTCGCAGCCATAGAGCAACACGGTACGTACCGTTGCGCAATACACACCCTTTCAATGAAAGGGATATATCGCGCCGGCGCCAGAGATGCCGCAGATTAGCAAACGCTTATCTAGCTTTGATCACGTATTGAGAGATCTCCTCGCCCACATCTCCACCAGCCGTTATGCAACTCCTAAGGTAGACAAAGCTTTCGACTTCTTCCAGAGTGTCATTATCCAATGAAAGTGCAGGAATAAGTTCCTGCCAATCTTGCAACAACACTTTGCACTTTGAAGTTGCAAATGACATAACCTCAATTGCCAAACGGCTCAACGACTCTTGAATCGTTGATGCTTTGTCACCCAGTAAGGCAATATCATCGGCGTACTCTAAGTCTACTACTCTGTCCCCAGCGCAAGCTAAACTACAGAACGAACCAGCGATATCTTCTCATCAGCCTGAGAAGACAACGGTAATAAAAATGGCCAATTTGATTTAAAATGTGGAGCACAAGTGGATCAACCAATCACGCTCCGCGTTGAGAAGCATGCAGCACAACTGGCTGAAAGTGTTACAACTGAAGAAAAGAATAAAACGAAGATCGATTTGACCATGGTGTGAGGCACGCATATCACAGGTTGTCAGAGAATACGAATTTGACTCAGCGAAATTCACTGTCAGGCTTTCTGCGACACCAAAGTGAAGACCCGCCATCAGACACCATTGATTCCTGCAGGCACAAACTGAATAAAGCTTTGACAAGTCTTAAATTTCAACATTCGTAGCAGTGCGCGAAACGAAGATAAATAGCGACGTTCGTCTACTTTCTATGAACCACGAATCGATTTATCTGTGCTAAACCCTATGGGACTAGAAAAGCAACCGCTTGTAAGTATTTCCCATAATAAAACGTTGAAAAAATAGCCTATGAACAGCATAAAACAGGACGGTGAGCCGAACCGGCTGTCATGACTCATTACTACCACGTAAATGCACTCGGCGTTTCCCCGGTTCGTAAATTCAGCTTATGATGGCCATCATGTGGTTTAAGTTATGGCCACTGTTGTGATGTTGGCCATGAAGATCCGAGCATAGCTCGACTATAATAGTAAGCATTTCGATTGCCGCACGGCTGAGTATCACGCATTTACTGGTGAGGTTCCATGAGGTTGACTAACTCAAATTCCGCGGCTTAGTTAACAGGCTCCCACTGCCAATCCAATGGTTCTCGTGGCCAAGCGGTTCCACCTCACCGTATTGTTAACGGTATATGCACAATATCGCGCATAGTGACAGAATACACAATTACGAACCGAAACTAACCATCTTCGTATGCGTGTTCCAAATTAGGATTTCAGTTGTTCTCGGCACAGTTTAAACAACCCGGTTAAGTTAATGCACATAAAAACGAGCTGGTGAACATCAAGTCCGTGGGGAAAATGAGTGATGAAGAGCATGAGATACCAACCAATTTCGACATTGAACTACTGGACTTCGACCAGTCAGTCAGCGATCAACCAATGAACGAGGGAATGGGGGTCATTCAATAACGGAAACAGAAAACGGAAATGTCGGAATCCCAGTGTGGAGTGGAATGTAAACATTGACAAGACGATTGGCATCAAGTAAGCGCGAAGAGGTTAGAGTAAAGTGGGCGGTACAATTTGATGATCAGTTGTCTAGGGCAGTGCCCGAGTGGATGGGTGAAAAAGGAAAGAAGGGGAGATTACCTGCACAGGATGCTCATAAAGAGAGCTATCACAGCATGAATTAAGTACAAAAGCCTTAGGAAAAATTGTGGGATCTGTGGTCAATAAATTCCGTTCCATTGGGACGAATGAGTGAGTATCAAATAAACCAAGGCGCATGTGAAACTAAACGAACTGACCAGTCGAACGGAAATAAAACCAGACTACAGAGACAGGAGGAGGAGGAGGTGATATGGCCTGTTCGAACTCCGTTAATCTTTAACTCCATTGGTCACTACGGAGACCGGTTTGTTTTCAGCTGGACGACAGCTGGGCGGTAGTAGATGTGTGGGTAATTTAGACGGTAGCTCATTTCCGTCCAAAATTAGTTTGATCAGATAGTTAGCTAATGCGAATTCATCCGAATTCAGGTGGCCGTCAGCATCTACATCAGCCAGGGACCAAACTTGACGCAGTACTGAGTTGGGTAATTGTGAGGCAAGCATGTGCTGTTTAACGGCTCCGCCAGTAAGACGTCCATTTTCCGGGTTCAACGATTGGAAAATCTATGTTTCAAAGCAGGAGAAAAGAACAAGAAACGATGTAAGCTGAGAAACATGTGCACAGTAAGGTAAAAGAATTTCGTATACGAAAGAGAAAATTTATATACAGATCATGAGAGATTTGCTCGTGAAGTCATTCTCACATCGAAAACTATAAGAGGTGGCACAGGTGTCGAAGACAGGGAGGTAAATTCGCAAGTTTGATCAACATGGAAAACATGAGAGAGAACAGTGTGGAACAAAGAACTGTGTGAGTCTTAGTTAGTTATGAGCACGAAGTATCTGGTGCAAGAGGACTCCTCATAAAATAGATGAGGTAACGTTGAAATGGACACAGTGGGTTGAACTCAATCAACAAAAACGTGGTCACAAATCTGTGAGACCTATCCCGACGGTGGAAGAGTGGCGTCTGTCACACTAGTGGCGAAAAGAAGGGTACACTCGATGTGGTGCGTACAATACCCACCTTCGGTGTGTAAAACCTCTTGATGCGAACGAGTGATGATTTTCACCAATTTCCACATGGTCACTCAAGCAGAAAATCTGATTTTGAAGCGGCCTCGCCTCCCCCCTCCAGATGCGTCAATTATTTCTTTCACTCGGTGGCAAACTCCAATCGGCTAGCACTTCTAGTCGATCGGGTGGGGATTCATTCAAAAATGTGTGTGTGCATGATTTGTTCGACCTTCAACCAGTGCTGGACCATGGAAATGTTTGACACATGGTCCCCTCTAAAAGGTCTTCGCGGCCAAAGTTGCCTATTGCTATTTTCAGTAAAAGAAAGTTTTGTAAGATTATTCGGTCACCGCTTCTCTTCCGCTTGTGTATTATCCGTCAAGCCTGAATACTTCATATGTCCATTTCTTAAGTATGCACAACATTGTTCAAATAAACCATCATGGCGCATTGGAAGAACACACAGTAAAGAACAAGCCTGTTTGTGATGATTCGTCTACAGACCAATACATCACAATTTGTCAACAAGTTTAGTAGGGAGAGAACACATGTCAAAATGGAAAGAGAAATAATCAACATTTCAGCTCCAGGACCGGATGTTGCTCACACTTTGGTGATCACACGTGCGCATTGGTTCGAGTCATTAGGGGTGGCAGTGGGATTGACTGTATCGTGTGTTGGACATGGAGGATCAAGTGCTTTTACGATTTGCTTTTGGGAGAATATGGGGGCGGGGGTATACGTAGGCGGATTCCGATCGCTTCCGCTGTGGCTAGAATGCGATTCATAATCCCCTTAGATCGATGGCTACAAACTAATTTGATGTGTCAAAACGCCTCAACCACATCAAACACTTATTTCGACTCCGCTAGGTGTGATCGAAATGTTGACATCATTTTCAGCGTTCATATACCAACGACTGCGTTTGGTTATATGTACAACGTGCTCTTCTGAAATTTATGACTAGCTGCTAATAATTTACCCTACCGGTGTTCACATTTTCTCCCGCAATATGTAATTATTCGGAGCGGGAGGAGCTGTGTGTTACAATTCCAAATGGTACCGATAATTTGATATCCGCCAGAGTACAATAGCCATCGATCGATAAGGCGTTTATGAAGCTGCGAATCACTCTATTATAGTTGGAAGTGTGACGATGGATTCTATCGATATTCAATTCCGTGATATTAGTTGAATCACTCCTATGAGGTTACAATTTTTGACCCATACCAGTTGGACAAGCTTGGCTGCTCTAAATGGGCTAGGCACATTTGTTATCATTCAGGTTATTGCCCGCCTATTAGTGCACTATGGTTGCAACACACACAAACCGAACACATGCAAAGTTTCATCCGAGATCTGACTAAAACAAAAAGTGGTATGGCGAAAGAGGTAAAACAAAATGAGTACAGCCGAATTTCGGAATCGGTAGCACAGATAACGGACGACAGGTTTATGGTATGAGAAGTCTACAGTCATTCAGATCAATGCTCAGTTATATACAGATGCTCCATTCCAACGGTATGCAAATGCAGTCGGGACTAATGACAGAACAATATGGATCGTCTTTGTTGGTCATAAACTGGGCCAGAACGATATGGAGCGGAACAGAACAACAGAATGCGGAAAAACACTGAAATTCCTATAGGCACAAAGTTTCAGTCAGCTATATTTCTGTAGCACAAAGGTGAGCTGAGCTATAAAACAAAATTCCTGAGCGCAAATACACATCTGGATTGACTTTGTCAAAGTGAAGCGGAAAAAATGTTGGCACTCAGCGATTTAACTCTATATTCACGGATAAGCAACGACTTTTTGCTCTATCGGCTCACTCTCGGATACGTGTACTGTCGCCCAAACCGCAAGCATGGACGGATTAAAATTAGTTCTCACATGGACTAGATCACATGGGACGTGGTGGCGCATTTCGTTATTTTTCTAGTTGTTGCACCTTTTACCCACGTGAATAAATAGCTATCATGATCGAACTAGTGAGGCACAAATACTTTTGACAAATTTAAAAACAGACTATGTTAACTGTGAAAGAAAACTATTCGCCGCTCGAAAAGAATTTTCCGAACCTCAAGTAGCAAACATTCATGGAACAGGGGTCTCATTTTTAGCCAACTGTGAGAAGACTCACCGATCAACCATTAGCGAAGAACAGAAACTGATGAATTACACAATTAAACCAAATCCCAGAGAATGGGATGCATGCATCAAACCAAACATAGGCGTGCTAAAAGAAATCCAGCAGCCACACACGAGTATAGGATAAATTCGCATAGATGCATATGGAGGAGTTTTCTCATGGCATATGAAAAGTGTCGGGAAATACAGACACACTGAGACTCAAACTTTGTTGAGAAAGGCACGATTTTACACAAAAATAAATCTATCAACAAGGTGATTTTTCACATGCTACACAATGCACAATTTCAATGGATTCAGTAGCAAAACGTACGTGTTTCACAATGAAACAACACAAAAATTGTGTGGAACTTCCACAATAATTGAATAATAGCATCCGATCAGCTGGACCTCAGTTCCGTGTATTGATTGCACAACTGTGGTACACCAAATAAATCAAAGTGAAAAGCTACTTTGGTGGTAGGCAGCTTTGCTGTCCTCCGGTTCAGTACCATGCCTAACCTAGCGCTGGGGCATTATCTGGTTCGCCATTCCACGTCCCGGGGCTTATGTTACCGGTTTCCATCATTGAACAGCAGCTCTTCGTGACTATGGGGTTTTCCCTATCTGTTATTCACCACACCAAAGTTTATAATTAAAAAAACTTTCATTACCATTACAACTGCAAGATATTCGTATGCTTCAATCGGACGGAGCCAAGAAGTGATCACAGGATTCTGATAGCAAATGAGCAGCCGAACAACCGTTGCGAACTGGGCAGAATGATTTCGTCGGGCAGTTTGTGAACAATATTAGATCGAAACACGACAGCCGTTCAACAGACAGAAAAAGATTGATCAATGCGCGTTTCAACCACTGATGGGCGCTTGGATACAGATTAAATAAATGAGAATAGAATCGCACCCAAATGATATGAACTCGGAAGTGAATGGCCACAAACGGATTACGCGTAATCAGGGAGAGCGGAGCCGAAATTCGGATATAAATGATGGTAATGGAAGAAACGTAAACAAACATCAAAGGCTCCAGTCAGTCATTTGTTGGCTTCTGATTATCCTATCATTACCGGGATGCTATGCATAACCATCGTGTTCACTTTTAGATATTCAGCCAATCAGATGACACGTGCAGGTGATCACCAAATTGGCTGGAATTCAACTATTTTGGCTGGTAATAGGGAAAGAGTGCAGAAATGCGTGCACGGTGGATACCGATTTCACTGTCTGATTATTCCAATAATCTAGACAAATAACCACGTAGTTTTTCAACGACACTGGTGAAAAACCGATTCTCAAATGTTGGAAATACATTTACAAGATTCAAAAGTTGAACATTGCCAGTCCGACCTAATTACAACTTAAAGGTGTAAGTGACTGTATGAGTACTTTAATCAATTGGGGAGAGAAAAGTTGACGAAATGATTCTAAAATAATTTTTTTCTTGAATTTGTCTCATCGGGGATAATTTGAAACAATAGGGATAGCACAGATATCGCCACTTTTTTGACCCGTTAGTACTAAAAACACATTATTATTAAGTAAGGTTCACAAAACCGCTCATCGTGACGATACCAAAAACATAGTGAGATCAGCAGAAACAAATCAAGGACTATTCATCTCCATAAACGCATACTAGTTCTTCGGTGTTCTTTGAACTGGAGGTTAGAATGTTCAGTGAGAAGTATCAGACGAACACAGAAAATATGAAACTTCTCATCAACAAAGGAATAGGGCTAACAAAAAGCGCTCACCTTGTCCCATTCGGCACGGTATCGATCCACAATCCAGCCACTGTCGTATTTGCCCTGATTGATACCCATGTTAGCGTCCACTGTAAACGGACTATCTCCGATATTCCCATCAAACGCACCACCTTTAACCAAACCATGTCCAAGCTCCATGCTGGCCATTTGTTCCTAAGAGAACGGGGGAAAAAGAGAAGACATCGGCGGGATGAGTAGAGAGATGCAACTGAATAAATACAATCCGAGACAAATAAAAAGGATAGAGACGATGAAGTGTATTCAACCGAATATGCTCATGATGTTGAAGCGAAATACGGTGAACAATGCCAGCTCGTGTGTAGCTCCTGATTCAATAATGATCTGGAATCAGCCGAACAATTCCTCTACAAACCCAACACGGAAATGTAGGAAGGTAATTGTATCACTAGGTTAAAAAACAAGTGACTGAGGCAGAGAGCACCTAAAGCAACTTTCCGGCTAACTAAAACATTTGATTAGCGGTAATAAGCATGAAAAACTTTACACCGCAGAAAACTAGGACACAGGTGAGGCAGATAAAACAATGCAGATCATCATGCAACGATACAACACAACACTAGAACCATCATGCTGGAAACGGTTCAACTGGTCCGGAAGAAGAGATAAAATTCTAATGATCCAAGCCACAGACATGGATCTGAAACTGATCGTCTGTTAGGGAGGCCTAATCTTTCCCTGAGAATTCTCGCGGTTTTAATTTGAAACGTATTAAAATCATCCGCCACTGTGAGAACTTGTCGGAGTTTTCTCGAGGGTCCTGGATGCTTAGTTGTAAGGGTAACGGACAGAGAACAATAACCTATGTGCATGATCTCCATCGACACCCTAGTAATTCTGATTCCGGACAGATGATTATACCTTCAAGACTGTCTAAATCGAATTTTAGTTGACCTAGGTTCCGAACTTTTATGCCTGATGTTCCTTTTACCCTCAACACAAGCACTCATCACCAAACCCTATTTAGTAACCAGCATAAACTTGCTGTTAACAGTAATATCATCCCCAAAGCTAACTCTTTCATTTTTCTTGAATTAACTTTGTCTCATTACCTTTCCTAGTCCGAGCACGTTGGAAAAAATATGATTTCAGAGATAAATATTATCAAATTCAGAGTCTATATTCAGAAAAACGCGTTTTTGAAACACTCCAATTTTTGAACTTACAATTGCCTATGAAATTCCGTAATCATAAAATTTATGCTATATTTAGACAGCTCTCGTTACGTTATTTCAATTGCAGTTGGTTTGATAGAAATAATATCTCATTCCATTTCAGATATATGGCCAAAATGATCATTTTGATTGCTCAGTGCTTGAAGGTGCTTCTGTGGTGGTATCACAGAGATGGAATACGTCGAAAAAAATGGATGTGAATCTGGTCAACGATGATGCCTATATCGATCGATTGGTGTCCCACTGCAGAAGCTTGAGATGTAGCTTATGGATTGTACTGCAGAGTCATGCCGTGGACGTAAGCAATGGGTCAAACGTTGATCGAGCATGGTCTATTGGTATCAGCGCGACATGGCCCGATACGGTTTTCCAGGGGGAGAGGAAGAAACACACGCGTACACGCACTAGCAAAATAAACATTTAAGGCACGCCATGAGGATTGGGGTGTGTTTGATCAAGGCACGTCTCACAATTGTCGCCCCTAGCGCTTCAACCGGAGGTTGGGAATTCTATGCTGAAAAGTGCATGGGTTTGTCAACTCATCGGAGTGATGAGGTCAATGAGACAGCTTGAAATGATGCTCAGACTACTGCTCGGATAAACCCACATTTGCCCGGCACAACCAAGAAGGGCTTGCACTGTTTGCAACTGTTTTTTAACTGGGATGTGTGGGACCAAGTTCGGTGACAGGTTTGGCGAGGTACAAACCTCTCAGTAGCAGCTCACATTGGAGTCGGACTACTGTCATCCGGAATAACGCACTTTAAGAACAAGGCACTACGTATGATATTGCTTCACATTCCAAGACTCCGAATGTCAGTTACAAATGATACCGAACTCATAATATTGCAGAATGGTCGGGAATGAGTGTTTTGGGTTTCTCCAATCCAGGCCAAGAAAGAGACTCTGGTGGCCATTGTTTACACTTGCTGATGGGGAGTAACGATTAAAGGCCATTCTCCAGTACCTTAAGCGAACTGACAAAATAATCAGAACCAGCTCGCCTGGGGGTTGGCCAAAACCCTGATCCCAAACCAAACATGGTAAAATATGAATGATGTGGTCACCAACTAGCGCTCCTTTGAACACCTTGCATTTCTGACCCAATCCAAAGAACGCATGATCCGATGAACTGGACATCGGCCCCGAATTGATTGCAGTTTCACATAACGCCCTCTTTCCTTCCTTGCGGATCAGACTTGGGATAGCCAGAGATCCCCGTTGTAAGTAAGTAAATTCACCTGCTTTGGTCTGGGTAACCTGGCGGTATTCCGCTTACCAGTAAATCATGGACCCATTTATCGTTATACGGACTAATATACCGCGACTCGTTTGGTTACTCAAAATTGATGGGAAAACTAAATATCACACTGATCACACTACCACGGATCGCGATGAATATGACGTTCAAGTCACAGAAAAGAAAATACAATTTATTATGATGCAAAAAGAGTAAAGGACGAGATCACTCCAAATCAAACCAGTGTTGGACGACCATTCATCGACAGACAACGAGAAACAATGCACTGAAGAAATAACAGTATCTAATTTACTCTACAGGAAGCAGTGCGCTAGCTCACCATAAATGCGAAGTGACATGGACCGGCAGATCAGCTTCGTTAGTAGTAAAAAGCGAACACAAACAAGTAACTGCCGTTTTGAACGATCTAAATTTCTAAACTCCAACCAATAATTAGGAACTCCGAGGAACCATAATCGTTGAGGACACACGTACATTTGATGGTTGTATCGAATTAACTGCATAACACTAGACTGTGATCCTCTTATTCCTTTTTTAGTTCGATTCTACAAACACAGTAGACATTTGAAAGGGCTCATCTTTGCAACAAGCCTCCGAATTTCGAAGTTTAATTGGTACACTTTCGTGTCGTTGCGAGAAACATAGAGGCGATCGATTGGTTTTTTTCGAAACACATCCGAACTACAGCTGTACACACACACACACAAACACATCGACACTCAGGTATGCTAACATTGCCATATGTGACGGCCTGAAATGATTACCAACAGTGTCTAGATCCAATGCGGATTAGCCAAATTATACTGAACAGAATGAGCGGCCGTGTGCGCAATTTCAGTGTACTTAAAATGTGCGTGCCACGAAGAGCGCATACACTCTACTCGAGTCATCGGGACTGGGTTGTGCAACAGGACCGAGTGGCACCATTGCATTAGTGAAGTTAGGATACAAATGACAACGGACAAATCGTGCGACCGATTAAGGACTACAGCTGACTGTCCTACCAAGAGCAATAGGGCCGGAAGTGTGACTGGATATAGGAAAATATTCTTAACTGAGAGTTAAAAACTGATGACCAGTTTCAGTTTCATGAAACTAAAGTGTGCGCAGGTGGGGGAGCGATCTGTTGTCATTTCACCTCGCATCGACATATCTGGTAAGATTATAATTCTAAAAAGTCAGAATGTAATTTGTATAAAGCGTGTGCTGTATGCCTCAAAAAGCTTCAATATGATCCGGAGTGGGTTTCTTGGGTTGTGAGCTGCCAAGCATCCATTGCAACTCGTGGGAACTGCGGGTGCGCACAGAGAACGCTCGATAACGAGTGATACGACTGAGTGTCATGCATCACCTAAATTTCCGTGAAACGTTAGACTACAGAAAATTTTCATTTCCTCTTTGACACTGCTTTGAACCTTCAAATTTTCCTTTGTACAAATGGGCAGCCAAAACTGCAGCACAGAAGTGTATGATTAACGGTTGTTTCCACACAGTTTCAGTCTCCCGATTTTACAATTACCCAAGCACCTTTGTTTGGCAGTTTTAGTTGATGTCCTTGGGCTGCCCACTTGGATAAAAGCATAGGTAGGTCGGCGAGTTGAGAGCACAGTCAAATAGAACAAAAAATTCATTCAGACTAAGGTTGCCAGGACAACGAAGAGATGCCCGAGCTTCACTGCACCATTTGGCCATATCACTTAGCGTCTCTAGCCACCGGCTACGATGGTCCTGAATGTCTTCATTCAAGGAGACCAGCGCAACCCATATGACTGAATTTTTATAACCCCCTGAAATGTTTTAGGTTTACCGTCCTTTTTCCACCACCTGGTTGTCTCGGCAAACACCATATACCGTGGCAACCTATTTGGTGATATGCGCAACACACACTCCAATCAAAGTAGTCAATGCAAGTCAACCACTTTCTTCAGTAGGCGATCGCGATTACCTAAAACTGCACCACTACCTGTCCGGCTGCCCCACCAGACTCGTGCAACACTGCATAGACAGCGGTGTTTGAACATCGACAGTCTATCTTTATCCTGTTTCCTTACTGGCCAAGTTTCTGCGCCGCATTGCAGAACTGGCCGAACTGCCGCAACATACACTCGGCCCTTAACAGAAAGCTGGATGTCGTGACGGCGCCACAGATATATCAAGTTGGCAAATGTCAATCGAGCCTTCTCTATGCGTGCCGACACTTTATACGTGAGTTGTCTTCAACATGAAATATAGCTGCCCAAATAGCAAAATTCATCTACTTATTCAGCTACTTCTACAGTTAGAGTGAGATTAGGGACTAGGCAAGCCCAGTCCTGTAGAAACAGTTTACAGTTTTACAAAACTCATACAGAACATGGGTACACTAGAACACAAACCATTCCGTAAAACCTGCAACTTACCCGGATTTTCAGTTAGCAGTACAATGTTGTCTGCATAGTCCAGACTAGACAGTTTGCCATATGAGAGCAAATTGATATCACTCTCTTCGTAGCAGAATAAAAAGGAGAGCAACCATGACGAGCACCACTATCTGTGTTAGACTCCGGTATAAAAGAGTTGGTGATTAGCATGAAGAGATCGCAAAATTGAAATAAACTTCTTAGGCACATCCTTCTAAGACACGCAGCGCTAGAACATAAAGCAGTCGAAAGCCGCTTTTAGATCGAGGAGGACACATGTGGTGGGTCTATGAAAGGAATGTCTGTGTTCCAGACTTGGTTGTAGAGTGAGAATGTGGCAGAAAAACTTCGAATAGGTATAAAGACCGCCTGATTAACAGGTGTGCACCTTTCACATTAGAAAGACAATTGACGGATTATGATGCCACATCAGGATTTGTCGCTTCTCTTGTAAATGGGTAAGATGGCCGACTCACACCACTTTCCTGGAACTTGTTCCCTTACCCTACTGATATCCAGAGCTTCATTAACTACAAAACAAAGACTGCCCCTGTATGGTTAAAATTCGATGAGGATAGCTCATCCGAGCAGACCTTAGATCCCAGAAACCTTCATTCCAGATGGAGGACTGATACAAAATGGCAGCATTTGCCCAGCTGAAGCAAGAATTGTGAGGTCCAGTATGACGGGGGCCAACTGAAATATTCTGCGCGTCGGTCAGGATGACGTTGCTGAATATGAATCAATGTGACGTCAGACTCCTAATTACCTCATCTACACCTACTTTCCTAGAGCCTGTACTCCACATTAGAAGGAAAAAGTTGCGACTAATACTGATAGTCGTTACTTTCTTCATCTCTTTACATTTTACTGATCACCATTTCTCGCAGTCATTACTCAGGCTCTTCATGAGCTGGTGTTTAAAGGGATTTGCGTATTGTATCGTATTTAGCATAGGAAGGAATGACTTTACGAGATCCTAGTACGGTACCCGAGAACGAGGAGATCTATTGCTTGTGCTCTGATGGAGGTTTTATAAGACACATTGTGTGGGTGATGAACAGCAGACGGGATGAACCCCATAGTGGCGTAGACCTGTTATTCTCTGATGAAAACCGGCAACCTAAGCACCGGGACTTCAAGTGTATGACCACATAAGGCCTCGCAAGCTTGGGTGCTGAACACCACCGTTATCCGGATCGACATTTGGATAGACTTCTTGATACACGTATGACTATACGTTGACGATGGAACTGAGGCGATCTGAGAGTTCTGCTTCGAATGCTGATGTGCAACTCCGTAGCATTACAATGTGAACATCTGTTACCTGTGGGTTCTTTTGCCGTTGCTTATTGGGCGTAGGATGTGGCAGAGCATGGTCCGTGTCAAGGGGTGTTGAATAGTGAGAGTGGCAGTCTCGAATGGAAGTAGGTGATGGTGATGAAGTCTATTACAGTTCATCAATGTGACGTTTCGGGCGGTGACTTTTTTGTGCGATAACTTGATGTTTGACAGGGGCAAGTTGTGGTCTGCGCAGAGCTAAAATAGACAAACTCCGTTGTCCGTCCTGTTGACTGGCATTGTATGTGGCCCACCATGGAATATTTCTGATGTCTCCACATCACACGACGGTGGACAAGTGGTTGAAGCGTGGATATCAAGGACAAGCTGGCAACAAGACGAAGGGCCTTCAGGCAGAATACACTCCAAAAGTCCCGCAGAAGAACAAGTCCCACTCCAGATATAGCTACAATCTTCCGGAGTGGGGAATATTTGGGATTTGTAAATGGTGTGAAGTTGGGAATAAATGGAAAACCGCTTCGAGCAGGAAATCATGACATCTTTAGGGATCTAGGCGGTGAAGATTCAAGACTGGGAGGAGGCCAAGGTTTATGCTTATACAAATATATCAGCAACGAGAGCTAACGCAAGACATCGTGAAATATATCTGTGATAAGACGTAGGAGATGCTACTGGCCTCACCTGCTGGGTTTCACCTCCTCTTGAAAGCCAGGCTGCGTAAGATGGTAATGATTCTGAATCGATGCCTTACCTCGTGCCAACAATGCAAACACACATGCGGACCTTAATTCTGACCCAGTGACATAATTCAGGGATGATGACTTAATTCAATGTTTGCTTCGTGAGCAATAAGAAAGCCATATGTCGATAGCGTGTTGACGGACTGGTGGGAAACGGCTGAGATGAAAAAAAGAATGCTTTCTTGCCCTAGAAACTCGGAAAAACCGTTGGAAATCTGTGACTTCTGAGCAACCTTTTGGTGACAAGCAAACCGCAAGGATTGAATTAAATGTACCAAGGGCTTGGAAAACTCTAACATATAGCCATTATCTTTACTCAATGTTATTAGTGCATCAAGGTTGAAAAAGGCTTTTCCTTTGCAATAAGTACCCGACAAATAGCACTG